CCACTAGCACCCAAGGACCACCCTGCGCTTCACCCAGCATACAGCAGCGCAGCTCGGCTATGGCTGCGTGCTCCTTCCTTGCTCGCCCGTGAGAGTGTAGGCGCCAGCCAGCACATAGTGCAGCAGCAGCGCTTGCGCAACATGCAGCCAGCACCCGAATGTCGAATGAGGAGGCAGGCCCTTCCATATATCGAAGTGGCCTGCCTGCGTCCAGACCAGGAAGTTTCGAGTAGGCCCCGGTAGCCTGAGGCCCAGTCACGAGGAACGCAGGCGCATGTGCCCAACTGCTTTCGGCCTGTGTTCAGCCCGGTACCCGTTGTAGGGCCAAACCCCGGTAGACATTCGAGCCTTAGTCGACCCCACTGCGGGTCCCAGTTGGCTCGGCCTGCCCACACTCATGCTCAGGGCGCGGGCCATTCGTCCCAAGGTCACCCCCACCTAGTGCTTTGAGATGGATGGGGGTGGGCCATCGCGCGAGAGAGCTTTGACATTGGGGATGTAGCTCAGCCCTCACGCCGGCTGGTAGTCTCACTGGTCGTTCCGCAACGCTGATTTTTTTATTCTTTATTGTGTTCTCAAGCAATTGCTCCTTCCAATACGCAGGCAGTCTAGGGATTCTTTGAGCGTTTCTCTTCTCTTGTGCGTAGGCTAAGCGTCATCCTTAGGCCACTCACCATTTCCCTAAGCATTTTGGCTATATGGCGTCATCGGGGTGCGGCGGGGCCGTCCTCCCCCTCGCCTCTATGCATCCATCGGATCTAACAATTTGCTTCCCACCTTATTGAAATAGGCCCCTTAGTCTTTTCGGGGTCCTCATATGCATGCACACACAACATCACATTTTCCTTGGTACAATTGCACTCTCAATCACACTTCCAAGTCTCAAGTGCAAAAGTCATTTTCATGAATTGACCCTTGTGTCAAGGGTCCCATAGCCCCTTTGTCCCTCTTCCCTTTCCCTCTTGGTGCCCAGTTCCTCTCGCCCTTATCCCGCTCAAGGCATTTCTAGCCATTATTCACCTGCACAATCCCACACAAGCAAAAAGATCCATACAATGTTCCCCGTTGGGGGTCAACACATAGCCCTTCCCACATGCCTGTTCTTTCCATGCTCTTTGGTTGTGCTTTGTTCCCTTTTTTTTGTTCAATCAGCCCATCCTCTTCTCATAGTCATGCAGTCGGGGAAATGGTTGAGTCAAACTGACCTCTCTTTAACTTATGCTTTCTCCGGATCTTGTCCTTTTCCCACTTTTTCAAGCGTCCTTTCTTTTGCCTTCTTGGTGGCACAAGGGACCGGCTACCCCCCCCTTGTCCTCTTTCTCCACCAAGTGAGGTCTGATTTTGGTCACCGTCCGTACCCTCGCAATGTTTCCAAGTGAGGGGAGAAAGGTTAGTCATATGCCAAGTGAGAGAGAGAGAGAGAGAGAGAGAGAGAGAGGACAAGAAGAACCCCTAATCAATTCAGCCCCCCCCTGTAACAACAACCAAACGTCGATCACCCGCCCTAGTACTGAGAGATTGAGTTCAACAAAGTAAAGATCAACAAAGTAAAGATCCGGAACATGAACTTGACAATGAGACTAGACTAGTGGAAAGCACATGCACAATGGAGAAGAGTTCAACAAAGTAAAGACCCGGAACATGAACTTGACGATGAAGACTATA